ATTCCCAGCTCCCCTCTCTGAGCCGGGTTCAGGGTTCATCCTCCTGGTGTCACTGGCCTTTGTCACAGTACTCATGGGCCTGAGGGTACGGACGGGGCCGGTCTACCATTGTTCTGTGTTCTGCTCCATCCCCGCCCGCCCAGGTCAAGTGCTTCACTGGCTAAATCCATTCCTGCCTGTCGCATGCCCAACCAGGCCATCTCTTCGTCTTTCCTAGCTTCCTCTGCCCTCTTCCTGAGGTGGCCTCGGAATTTCAGAGATGCACTCCGCCGGCCGCGGCCGGCCGCAGTCGGTTGCCTTGGGACACCTGCGCTCCGCCCGGGGCGGAGCGGGGCTCAGCCGTGCGATCTTGCGGGCAATGCTGCACCCTAGCGGCGCCTCTCAGCGCTGCGGCTCCCTCCCCGCCGGCGCTCGAAAACCGGGGAGCCTGCCTGGCGCTGGCGATGGTCCTGTGAGGCATCAAGCCATGGCATTACTCATCAGCCTACTTGACGTTTATCTGATTATAAAAGAATACAGATGCATTCCAGAAAATCTGAGCTACAGGAAATTGTAAAGAAAATACAGATTACCTGTAAACCCAGGGACAACAACGGTTAACCATTTTGGTATATAGCCTTCTGTTTTTTATACGTATCAGTGCATTTATTAGAAAACAGGGATTATCACACACAGAGGTTTTAAAAATACTATTTATTTTGTCCTGAATTCTGAAGAAGTCTGAAAAGTCAGAAAAGCATAAAGGAGAAAATATAAAAATCACTTAGAATCCCACCATCAGAGATAGCCTTGCTTCTCAACTTAGTTTATTTGTATTTGTGCCAATCAGCTGCTATTAATCCATTTATCTATCTTTCAAGAATCCAAATCAGAATTTTAAGAAGTTCCCAAAGGAAAATGTGTTCTTCTATTTTAGATTACCCCACAATAGAGTATACTTTTTTTTTCTTGCCTAGCAATTTCTCTGGAAACACCCTCCAACCTCCCCCTTCCTCCCCCTTCTGCCCAACACATTGCATCCATATGGCTCCCATGGGAGTAGCCAGGCCTTCCATGAACCCGACTGTGTTCATCTGTGGGATTAATTCTTAGCAGTGGAAATGTTTAAAAGAGGGCATGTGCTTTTGTAAGTTTTGATAGATACTGCCAAACTGTCTCGCAGAACAATCATAGCAACTTGCACACCCACCCGCAGTCATGCACTCACATGTTTCCCAGCAAGATCACCAGCGGAGTGTTGCCAAACTTTCAGCCCCGGGGATCACACATTTGAAGTTTAGCTACAATGTGCTGGGTGAGCGTGCACTGTGCCAGGCACCAGGCTAGATGCTGCCTATTTATTAATACTCCCCGAATCCTCACAAGTACCCAGTGTGGGGACGAGGGTTATTTTCATCCCACAGATGAGGAAGCTCAGGTTGAGATTACAGAGCTGAATTCAACTGAAGCAATCATCCGAACAATCAGCCAGGGCGCAACTTTGGATGGATCAGACTCACTCGGAGGGCTTGCTAAAAGTTGGCTGGGACTTAAGGAAAGGGCCTGAGAACATGCATTTCTAGTTCCCGTGATGCTGCTGCAGCTGGTGGTGGTCCAGGGACCACATTTTAAGAACCATTGCTCCTCACTCTTACTTTAATCCAGGACTCTTACCTGGAAATGACCTCGCTGACCCACAGGTCCCACAAACCTTGTGTGTGGGTACGTATGTGGGAATGTGAGTCATCTTCCATAGTCCTTCTAATGAACCAGGTTAGGTTTGTGGCAAGTGGTTCTACTTCTTCAAGTCTGTTTCCCCACCTTTAAATGGAGGGGTAACCCTTGGGGGAATGACAAGGAGTGAAGTATGCAAAAAAAATGAGGAAGAAGAAGGGGAGGAGGACAAGGAAGAGGAAGAAGAAATTGAAGGAGGAGGAGGAGGAGGGGGAGGAGGAGGAGGAAGGGGAGGAGGAGGAGGAGGAGGAGGAGGGGGAGGAGGAGGGAGAGGAGGGGGAGGGGGAGGAGGGGGAGGAGGGAAGAGGGGGAGGAGGAGGGGGAGGAGGAGGAGGGAGGAGGAGGAGGAGGGGGAGGAGGAGGAGGGAGGAGGAGGAGGAGGGGGAGGAGGAGGAGGGAGGAGGAGGAGGAGGAGGGAGGAGGGGAGGGGAGGAGGGAGGAGGAGGAGGAGGGGGAGGAGGAGGAGGGAGGAGGAGGAGGAGGGGGAGGAGGAGGAGGGAGGAGGGGAGGGGAGGAGGGAGGAGGGGAGGGGGGAGGAGGGAGGAGGGGGAGGAGGGAGGAGGGGGAGGAGGAGGAGGGGGAGGAAGGAGGAGGAGGGAGGAGGAGGAGGGAGGAGGGGAGGAGGGAGGAGGAGGGGGAGGGGGAGGAGGGAGGAGGGGGAGGAGGAGGAGGAGGAGGGAGGAGGAGAGGAAGAAGCTGCTGCCACCGCCCACTTTGGATCCATGAAATGCAGTGGGAAATAGTCGAGTCTGATAGGCCTGGATTGAGACGGTGGTTGGGCCACAGTGTGACACCAGACAAGCTAATGTACTTCCCTGAGCCTCAGATTCCTTCTCTTTTCAGAGGTGGGGATATGACAGGCTTCTTGAGGATTAAATGTGTATCGTTCCAAGTACTCTTTCTGCTCCAGAGACTTTAGGGGCAGTGGTGTCCCCTGTGACAAAGGGGTGCCTCATAACGATGCTTGCAGCTCACTTGCTGCCAGCCATTTCCCCTCTCACTTTCCAGGGACAGTGTTTGTTTCGGGCCCCGTTCCCAGAAAAGCGCACAGTCCCCGTTCTTTCCACATCCTGATGACCTCCTCTTTGTGACACAAAATGGGTTCTTTTCTGCAAGGAAACGGGAGGATGCTTTTTCAGACTCCTGGAAAGGGGCCAGCGTGAACCCAGTGATCACGTGGACCCTTGGCTGGTACCAACTGTTCTAGGTCAGTAGGCGAAACGGACATCCCTGCCCTGGTAAGCCTGATACCGTGTCCCTAAGTGTGTTGGCATCGAGCCTTGATACTTCCTTGGACTCTGGTGAGGGGCAAAACATGCGAATTCATAGAAAACTGGAAGTTGAGCCTGAAAGGGGCTCAATGACGCTCAGATCTCTGGGAACACCCGAGATATGGCTACAGGCAGAGCTCCTCACATTGTGATGAGTACGGGGCTCCTGCTATCCTGCAGGTTCTGGTTCGGTAGGTCTGGGGGTGGGGCCCCAGAACTTGCATTTCTAGCAAATTTGGATGTTCTGGTCTATGGACCATCTATGTTTGAAGTGACACCTTATATTCATCACGACCAAACATACGCTTATTTTTCTTCAGCTTTCAGTGAAATTCTGCATACACAAAGGAAAAACTAATTTCATTCGAGTATTCCAGTTGTTTACATTTTTGGAGAGGGCTGAAGGCCTGGGTGTCAGATCTTGGCTCCCACTGCAGTTTTCAAGTGACCAGGAGTGGCCTTAAGCTTGCACTTCACCACTGGAAGCCCCGGTTTTCTCATCTGCGAGCAGAGACTGTTCCTACCTCTGTCTCATTCAGGCAAAACCTTAGTTGTCGGACATTTTAACAGGATGGATTCAAGTGTCTCTGTCTGAGCATTTTAATCTGTATTTTTAGTTAGGTTGGGGGTTATCTCTGGGGGAGTTGCTGGGGTTCTAAAATCTTACCATGAACAACTGATAAACTGGTATTCTGAATGCACAAGCAGTGTCTCTAGAACAAATAAATACACGCTGGGCAACCATTCACTGAGTTTACCAGGTGCCAGGCAATATGCCAACTGCTGTACAGAGATTGTCTGGCTCATCTTTATAATGATTCTATGAGGTACATTCAGTTATTTTCTCCAAAACCAAAGCAAACAAACAAAGCTGAAAGTTATGGAGAATGTCAGTCGCCTAAACACATATATTTTAAAAGTGGGTACAACCAAGATTCTACCAGCTCTGTCTGACTTCTAGACCCAAGCTCTTGAATATAGTTAACTCATTTTTAAGTGACGAACAGAGTTACGGTAGTAAAACAGATGCAGAGACAGGAACAAGAAGGTTAAAATGCTCAACCCTTTATTAAGTCTGGTCATAAGGCACTCCCCAATCTTGGGTTAATTGAGATTCTTCTCTGTGAACTATGTCAAAGGCTAGTTCCACATTAGAATCTGACAGACAATCTGAGAGCGAATTTACCTCCCCACCATGTGTAATGGTGTTCGTTATCAGCATCTAAAGCAGAATCACACTTCCCCCTGTGCTCATAATAGACATTCCTGGAATTACACTGTGTGGGGCTGGGAGGGGGCGTGTGCTCTGTGCATATGGTATTCACGAAGGTGGCAGCCTGGGAGCCAAGAACAGGAAAGAATTCCCTGCTGAAGGCATAATACAAACTATCATTCATTGGGAGTTACTGATGGTACCCAGATGTCAAGTCGGAATGAAAGGTACCATCAACTGTGACATAAAAACTGCATTGCTTTTTACATACAAATAAAAGAGAGAATTTATTTTCATTCTGAGTTTATTTAACATTTCATCCAGTTGAACTGAAATAATACATTGATTCCAACACTGGCGAGACACTGTGCTAATACTGAAATAAAAACTGCCAGTCAGTAAATACGCACAATCATAATTCTTTATAATGTTAATAGAAATATGAATAACTATTTACCATTATAAGCTCATTGCACTTCATGTGGGCTTTTCTCCAGAAAAGGTATTTCTAAGAAATCAGCAAAATTGCCAATCTTGGTTCATTTGTTCCTTTTTATAAACCACGATTAAACGATACAGTTAATATTTCTATATAAAAGCATCAAGAGTTGGAAGCTTCAATAAATAATGTTTAAAAAGACACATCTCCATGTTCATTATCCCTTCCTGGTGTGTATAAAGTTTAGTTCATCAATCTTCAAGCCAGTTGCTGATTAATTTCTCAGTGAAGGTTAAGATTCTGAGAAGGAGCTACCAGTGAACGGGGGTGGGGAGTGGGGAGGGTGGGGGTCAGAATACTGAGATTAGCTGGGGCAGGTTGTGGGGGGCTTCGGTTTCTCCTTAAAAGCACCCTTAAAAGCACCTCGTGGAGATCTGCCTTGAATTTCAGGCTCTTACCACTTTTTAAAGAGAAGCATCTATGGCAATAAAATACATCCAAGGACAGAATGTAATGGGGAAGCTATTTTGCCTCAAATGGTTTAAGACAGAAAATCTAAATGAGAAAATTCTGGTGGCACAAAGGAAGGCTCAGAGTGGCCCCAAGCTTCAGATCCATTAATCCTTTCAGAGAAAAGAGAAACACGGACACAAGGAACACCATTTTTTCTTTATGAGGAAATTCAGTCTGGTCACATTGTCTGGAAAAATCTGTCAAAACTAGCTTCTACATTTTTTTTTCACTTATAAGTCTCTGAATTACAATTGAACTGAGTGGCCTCACTCAACAGAACAACCACCTAGCATATGCCTTGAACATCTTCAGACTTGAAACATAATCTGCTACATTAAATACATGTGAAGCTACTACAGAGGATGTAAACAGTGGTCCATGGATTCCTTATTGTCAAGCAGGGTGGAATGAAGTATAGAATATTCAAGTACAATTCATTCAGTCACTGATTCACATACACATTATTTCTGTATCTTTCTGAAAGCCAAAGAGGTCTATGAGAATGACAAGAAAAGACATGTAGCTGAGCTGGAACTGTGCTCTCACTTCTAAAAAAAAAATCAAACAAACCAGATTCAACCCAGTCATACAGCATTGGTATTGAATATACTTCCAAAATTTGACATTTGTACATTTCAGTTATTTGATTATTTGATGTAAATAATTGAATATAAAGTCAACAAGTGGAAGGTAAGATTAACTTCATAGGAATGTAAAACAGAATAAATTTAAGAGTCAACTAAAGAAATCCACCAGCAATATGAATGCATACAGTTGTTGACAGCAGGGATGGCTCATCACATGTGTCTATTACTGTGACTTTTGGGAAGTAGACAGAAGAGCTTTTATCCTATAAATCCAAAAGACTCATCATCTACTTTGGGTTGCCCATTGCCCAAAGTGGAAGCAAATGTCCTTAATATTTACGAGTCATTTTTTATAGCTTAGCCTCAGAGCTTTTGTGTTTTCCCCAATCAGTGCTGAGTGATTTGAAACAAGAATGGGATAAAAACTCAATATTTCCAATAGATTTCCTTTTCACTCACTGATAATCAATACATATGTATTGAGCATATACTGAACATCTACTCTATGCCTAGCAGTGCTTTTTAAAACTCTGGGTGAGGGCTGGTATATTGTCTTTGAAAAACAATTACTATAAAAGCTAGAGGAAGGGTATTTCTGTAAATCATATCGTGATTCAAATGTAAGGGAGCCAACAGGTGTCAGGCGCCTGGCCCATACGAGGCGCTGGCTGTAAGTAGCAGCTTGACTCTAAAAGGCTAATGTGGGTCTTTAAAAGGTTTCTGTAACTGGGAGAACCCGGGTCGAACCGGCTTTTCCTCACCGGGTCTGCAGTAGACGGGATAAGCTGTAGAGTTTCTTCTGCTACTTTACAATCCCTTATTAAAGTATACACGTCGTAATTCAGGATGGGTCTCTTGGATCTTGGCTTGCAACTCAGCCTCCAAGCTTGTCACAGACATGGAACTAGGATAAGGGAGAAACGACACGATTATTACATGGGCAGAGTAGGGAACTAGAATCTGGACACACAGCAGAGAAGGGCCGTCCCTTCTCTGGGATGGCTCCCCGAATCATGACTGGTATTGTAAGACAGAGTCCTGTTTGAAAAATGCTTCCTGTGCTTTGAAAATGAATGCCCAGTTCCTTTTGGAAAATTAATTGTTGCTAATAATCAAAGAAATGCACCTTAAGAGCTCAAAAATTATTAAAAGTTTAAGAACTGTTCATGGCTGGGAAGAAGGCAAGCAACAAGACTCTCAGTCCCTGCTGGTATTGGGAAACAGTGTATAATAATGCCACTTCCCGGGGCGCCTGGGTGGCTCAGTTGGTGAAGCGACTGCCTTCAGCTCAGGTCATGATCCTGGAGTCCCGGGATCGAGTCCCGCATCGGGCTCCCTGCTCGGCGGGGAGTCTGCTTCTCCCTCTCCCGCTCCCCCGTCTTGTGCTCTCTCTCTCTCTCAAATAAATAAAGAAAATCTTTAAAAAAAATAATAATAATAATGCCACTTCCCCAAGGAAAACAATATAAATGTTCACCATTAATAAAAAAGACATATGTACTTAGTGGAATTTTTAACATTAAAAACTCACTTGCATTAATATGCTTTTCTCCACTGTATTAAGAATACATGCTTCTTGCAAACGTTTTAGAAAACACTGAACTGTACAAGAAAAAAACCATCACTCACAGTCACACACCACTGAGCGATGACTTGTTAGTCTTTGCTTTATGCGTTTAAAAAAAGTACTTGAATGTATTAAAGCTTGTTTTTTTGTTACAAATGCATACTTACTATATAAAAGTATGAAGAAAAATTGTCCATAATGCTTACTACCAGAAAACCTGGTAATATTTCAATATGTAATCTTTTAAAAAAATTGTTCTATAATATAGTTGAGATATGGGAAAACATGAGATTAAAAAAAAGACAGGGGCGCCTGGGTGGCTCAGTTGGTTAAGCGACTGCCTTCGGCTCAGGTCATGATCCTGGAGTCCCTGGATCGAGTCCCGCATCGAGTCCCGCATCGGGCTCCCTGCTCGGCAGGGAGTCTGCTTCTCCCTCTGACCCTCCCCCCTCTCATGTGCTCTCTCTCATTCTCTCTCTCTCAAATAAATAAATAAAATCTTTAAAAAAAAAAAAGACAGGATATAGATACCTAAACATATGTAAGAAAATAAAAGAAATATTGTGAATATAGGAAAGAAAGTACCTACGTGGTTATGTTCTACACAGTGGGACGTAGGGTAGTCTTAAAATGACGCCATGATAATGATAATGGTTATGACTTATTGATCATTTGTTGGACCAGATATTCTGCTTTTTCATCCTTATAAGAACCCTGAAAGTCAGGTATTATCCTAATTTTACAGATAAGGAAACTGGAGGGATACTTGAGATTCAAAGCCACGCTCCTAACCAACACGCTATACGGTCTCTTGGTCTTGTTTTTCCATTGATCTAGAAGTACTCATAATTACTCTTAATATATTATAAAGGCCAACTCCGATTTTGGAATTAAAGTTATTCAAACCTTCCTGGATGGTGGGGAGACTCTTTTTTTTTAATCTTCTGGAAGAGTTTGTTTAAAACTGGAGTAATCTGTTTCTTGACAGTTGAGTAAACTCCACCTGTAAAACCACCTAGTTCTTGTGTTTATTTTGTATGAAGAAGTTTAAATAAAACTTCAACTTCCTTAATGACGATATGCCAATTCAGACTAATTTTTCAGCATTGTTAATATTTTTCCAGGAATTTGTCCATTTGCCTGTTTTCAAACCTACTGGCATAATGATGTTGATAATACTTGTAGCAATATTTGTAGTTACACCTTCTCTTCATTCATAGTATTATTTGTTCCTTTTGTTGTGATTGACATCATGATGATTTTGTTACTATTTGTTACCATTTTGTTACTATTTTCAAGAACCAACTTTTGACTTCCTGGATCCTCCTCTATTTCTTACATCCTTCCTTTCTCTTTCCTTGCAGTTTATTCTTTTTGTTCCTGTTGGACCTTTAGTGCTTGGTTTTCAGCCATTCTTCCTTTCTAATATATACATTTAAAGCTATAAATTTCTCTCAAAGCAACACTTTTGCTGCTTCCCACAAATTCTGATAAGGAGCATTTTCATTATTTCTCAGGTGTGCAGGAGAATGGATGATTGTGTCATATTTATACAATGGACTATTATACAGCAGTAAACAGTGAATGAATTTAGCTACATGCAATAATGTGGATGACTCTTAGCTACATGATATTGAATAAAAAAGAACGAGTAGCAGAAGACTATATATAGTATGACACCCTTGCCTAAAAAGTTCCCAAAGAGGCAAAACTAAACAACATCGGGAATATATATATATGCACTATATATATATATACACATATATATATAATAAAGATTTTTAAATGTAATTGTATTATAAATATGAAATGCAGCATAATGGTTAAATCTGCAGGAGGGAGGGGTATGGGCTGGGAAGAACCTATAAAAACATATAACTTATTGGTAATATTTTTATTTATGAGTGGGCAGTGGATTCATGGATGTTCATTATATCATTAAAGTAAACAAAATAGGGTCATGCTTGGATCAATGAGCGTAGTGTGTAATGAACCAAGGAATATCAGTAATCCTATTCTATCCAACTGATGAGTAAGAATCAAAAAGAAAAATAAACAAATGTATAAGCAAAAAAACCAGAAATAAGCTTCATTTAAACCAAGGCCTATGTAGGAAGCTCCTTTATGGGTTTTCAAATCCTTTAATCTCAAAATGATAACAGCTACCTTTATTAAGGGCTTATCTTGTTATTAGGTATTCTCCTCAGCATTTCACATACACTATTTCTAAGTCACTGAGTACAAGGTCAACTGCTGGACATTGGAATAAACTTTTCTTATGTTGAGTCCTGAGCTTCTGGGGTTTGAAAAGTAAATAGGTGTAATTACCCCTCTTTGGATTTGAGGAAATGCATCTGTAGTGGGCTTAGAGAATAAATTCTGAAGGTCCTGCCCCCTCCCAGGGGGCATGGCTCTAGGCATCAAGGTGATTTCGAGGCTCCTTTTCCTTGGGATTTAATGCCCGATTTAAGACCAGTAGGAGTCAAAGATGGATGTGAAAGAGCAGATAAAGGTGGAGTGCTTTATCAGGTGGCGTGGACCTGATAAAGTTAGTTCCAGTACCCCTCATTGTCCTTTGAAAGCCTCGGGCATGAAAGACCCTATGTCTGGGGCCTATTGGCGCATGGGGGTATTACAAAGGCAGGAGCCTGGTAACCCTTAGACAAAGGCCAAACAACAAAATGCTGCTCTCTGTGCTTTCACGTCAGATCAGCAAGAGGCTGAAGACCTAGATTTATCCCATGCTGATTTATGCCCATCAATCCAGTTCTTACATCAAAGGCGGGATTTAAGGGTAGCTTGTGATGAAAGTACACAATAAGGATTTTAAGGCAAGGAACTAAATAGGAAGAGGGGCAGCAAATAAACCAACCATCGAGGCAAAGTGCATATAACCGCTGTCCCTGGGGCGGACCTTAAATTCGAACATGTCTGTGTTGTAGCTGCATTGGCCAATGGATTGGATGAGAAGAAGCCGTATCTAAATTTTTTACAAAAGCAAATTTGTACCAGAGTTAACCTGACTCTTACAAACGAATAAAGCATTTTCAAATGTAATGGTAGAGCGGGATAAAGAGAGTTCTGAAATTAAACAGATGTGTGTTTGACTTCTGCCTCTATCTCTTCCTTTTAGAGACTCGGCTTCATTAATCTTTTTGAATCTCAACTTCCCTTCAAGTGAAACAGAATAACAGCACCTGTGTCTTCAACTGGTTTTTAGGATTAAAGCTCGTGATCATTCCGAAGAATAGCAAATACATACCTTTTCTGAGGAAATAGAGCACAACACAGAGGTGTAGCAAATACCAAACTAAAAAAAAAAAAAAAAAAAAAAGACAAATCAGAGCATTTTCAAATGGATGCCTTTCAGATTCTTCTTCTATTTTACTTTTATAACAATCCCCTTTCTTTCGAGCATCGTATTTCCTTATAAAGTATGTCCTGTTTGTATAATTTTATTACCAAGGACTGTCAAGATAATTTCAACAAAAAACATTAGAGAGATATCAGGAGTTTAAAAAAAGAATCATGCAAATAGTCCCAAACATTGTAGGTTTCTCTTTACTTCTATCTAATTTTGGGGACCATAAGTTCCAGATGTTCTGGGATGGTCTCACTTTCAAAACTTGTGTCCCATTCCTTCACCTTTCATATGCTGTGTATTTACCTTTAAAGAAGAAATTAATTATAAAAAATTAATTCCACTCACCAAAAGCCAACTAATCCAACTTGAATAGGTGCGCTCATCCATGGGAACCTCTGTATTGAGAGAGAAATTATTTTGAATACTTTTCATACAGAGACAATTTCTTCTGCTGATTAATAGGGAGGAAATTCTCCAGGTTACAAGATCCGGATTAGTGAAATTTGGGGTAACACTGCAACAAGCATGTTAGTCCTGACTTTCTGTAGCCTCCCTGATCGGTCAATGACTGCACATGCAAAGATCAAGTGGCTTCTCAGTTTTTTCTCTTGCACATATCGTCTGAGAGATGCCTGGCTCTGAACACGTGGAGGAATCATTACCTCCTACGGGGGCAGGTAGTACAGACTGGTGCGCAGGTTGGAAGACAGCCAAACCTGTACTCAACTCTCTGCCCTGCCGCCTGGTTCCCGACTGTGGGGACAGGGCAGGCAGAACCCAACCTCTCCAAGCTTTGGTTTCCTTCGCTGCAAAATGAGGATCGCCAACAGTTGCCTAAAAGTGTGTGGGAGATGTGGCAGGTAACATTCGTAAAGCACCCAGGACGGTGCCCAGAGCGTAGCAGAAACCCAGCAAACATTTCCCTCCTCCCCTGCAGCTTCCCTTTCTTGCTTTTAGTTGCTGTCAATATGGTTAAAACTACTGCTGGCACAGAAAATTTTTGCCTGTCACTTTTTTTTTTTTTTTCATGGAAGTGAATGAGTTGGTTGGTCTTGTGGAGAATAAGCACTGTTAGATTTTTAGTTTTCAAAAAGGAGTGGTACCAAAACATGTGATACAGAGAACGATGGGATAGATGGTTCTAGAAACAAGGCCCCTGAAACAGCGGCAGCTGAGTTGTGAACTGGTTGTTATGAAATCGGCCAACTTAGTGCAGAGTCAACACAGGCTGTTAAAAGATCATGATCCCAAAGAAGCTTGCATGAGAGGCGTACCCTGGTCCCCGAGAAGACTCCTCTGGCGAAAAGGTACGTCACGCAGGTTAACTTGAGGGGAGAGAGGCAAGTACTAGAGAGGAAGGGAGAAATGTCATCAAGAGGGGACAGGCCCACCCCTCAAAGGACAGCAGGAAAAGGACATATTGTATCTTGGGTAACTGGCCCTGTATGATGATATGGATTTTCATAAGGAGATGTACATCCTCGCCCCAGCATTTCCCAGGTGTGACATCTGCACTGGGTGATGGGAAGGCAGACTAAGTACTGAAGGAGATTTTGTGGAGGATGAACTTGAGCCCCTGAGAGTGGCCTTCTGATTTCAAGTGGGCTCTTGTCTGAAGCAAACGGGGCTAACCTGTTATCTCAGGGAACAGCTGCAGGTAATCTCAAAGAAGGCTCTGAGTAATGACAAGGATCCTGGAGAATTCTGACTTAACCCAACCTGGATGTCATCCCAGAGTCTCCCGACTCCTCTCCAGCACACCATTCACTTGATTCACCCCTACTTCTTAAATAGCACTCAGCCTGAGACTCAATTAGTGAGCGGTGGATGTCTGGTCTTCCCCTACATACTCACACATTAAAATCGTGCAAACAGAGGATACTGTAAATAAAAGTTTCAATGAATTAAAGAGAGTAATCGTAAGTGTAAAAAATATATATTTAAGAGGTAAAAGGTCAAAAAGTAATATGACCCTAAAGTCTTCCTTCCCCCAGGACCTTTTTTCTAATAGCTTTGCTGACATACAGTAAACTGCAAGTATTTGCAGTTTTTATACATGTATTCAGCCGTGAAGCCATCCCCATGATCAAGGTCATGAACATATCCGTCACCCGTAATGCTTTCCTTGTTCCTTGTGCCCTTGGCAATTCCTCTCTCTCTCCTAAACCCTGCACCCATTCCCTGGCAACCTCTGATCTCCTTTTTGCCACAATATATCAGTTTATATTTTCTAGAATTTTATGTATGGTATCTATTTTTTGTGTAATTGTTTTGAGATTAATTCGGGTGGTTGCATGTATCAGTAGTCCATTACTCTTCCTTGCTGAGTGAGGTATTCCACTGCATGGATACAGCACAATTTGGTAATCTATCCTCCTGCTGATGAACATTTGGGTTGTTGCCAGTTTTTGGCTATTGCAAATGAAGCTGCTGTGAACCATTCGTCTTTTATGGACATATGCTTTCATTTCTCCTAGGTAAATACCTAGGGGTGGAATGGCTAGATCAGATGGTAAGCATCTATTTCACTTTTTAAGAAACTACCAAACTATTTTCCAAAGTGGTTGTACCATTTTTCATTCCCACCAGCAAGACATGAGAGTTCCAGTTCCTCCGCATCCTCACCAACACATGCTATGGTCAGTCCTTTTGGTTTTAGCCATTCCTGTAGATGTTTAGTGGTGGCTCATGTAGTTTTAATGTGAATTTCCCCAGTAAATAAAGATACCGAGCATCTTTTCATGTGCTTATCTGATACAGATATGTGTTTAGTGAAACGTCCATTCAAACCTTCTGCCCATTTTTAAAATTGGGTTGTTTTCTTAAATGAGTATTGAGTGATTTAGATCTTCTGGATATAACTCTATTATCAGATACAAGCTTTGTATAGATTTTCTTCCAGTCTATTTATCTTTTCATCTTTTATAGTTTTCAAAAAACAGAATTTTACCATTTTGATGAAGTCCAATTTATCACTTTTTCTTTTATGGACTGCCTTTGGTGTTGTGTCTAAGAAATCTTGGCCTAACTCTTGATCTCAAAGATGATCTATTATATTTTTTGGCTAGAAGTTTTACAGTTGTTCATTTTTACATTTAGAGTCTACGAACCATGGGGATTAATTTTTACATATGATATAGTCAATTCCCTATACATGGTCCACATGCCAGGCAACCTGATCATCCACAAGTCTCCCAATAAGCCATGCTGTGTGACCTCTCTGAGCTTCTGCAAAGCATGTACCCTTGAGCTGTCCCTTTCAAGACTCTGCCACCCCCTGTAGTTGAGGGAGACACCTTCTCTATTCCCTCTGTGCTATAACCACCAAGTATTAGAACCACTGCCCTGTGCCTCTTCCCATCACTGTGCTATATGGTCCCTGCGAGCAGGGCTCAAGCCCTGTTTCTATGACTCGAGCACCTAGCACGTTGCTTGGCACGTAACAGGCACTCAGCAAAGGGCAGGTGAGTCAATAAATAAATGAGTGAATGGATAAATAAAGGCAACACTCACATTTAATTAACAGAAAGTCCTGAAAAATCTACAGAGTAGACAGAGCAGTCCACCTTTATTAAAGGGAATATGGAAGAAGTAGAACTTAAGGAATGAGGAACTATTATCTGACCCAAACCATATATTAACTTGACTTATTCCCAATGAAAGTGCCAGCAAGGTAAAGAGACCACAGGAGTTATTCTTCAAGAAAACATTCTTCAAAGGGCCAGATTTTCAGCAGTGAGCTTTCTGGTTTATTGCAAAGATTTCTGGGAGTCACATGCCCACTGCTGACGCTTTTTTTCCAGCACCCCACTTGGGGAAAGATAGGGGGAGGGACGAATCACACTGAATGCTCCCCAAGCTCATAAAAAGCCAAGAAGGTTCAATTTGTTTCATGCTTGCAGAGGAGTTTGGTCATGTCCAAGGCCCAGATAAGTACACCCTTACAGAGGGGCACAGCCAGCCACTGGGGCTGTGGGAACAAGCAGGGGGCCAAGTGAGGCAGACACCACCCATGTGGACGTCATGAGCTGCTGTAGAAATTATCTCAGGAGCCTCTGTAGAAGGGGCATGGTAAAGCCTGCCTTTCCTGATGCATGTGAAAGTGCTCTGAAGATGGAAATATATGGATAGTAATACAAGCCACCTCTGCCTATGTTTTAGCAATAGCTAGACTATCAGTTAAGTCCTACGGAACTCTCTACGTGGGCAAAATGCAGTATTGCAGGGTAAGGCCACGCTGCACTTGGGGAGTGGTATGTGTGTACGAATAGCTCAACAACAGTCCGCCATTCCTTTTTCAAAGCAACATCCTCCACTGAGGTCTGCAGCAGGACAGCTACAACCAGACCCCCTATGGGTGGCGGGACGCTGGGACTGAGTGTCAGCCACTCTGACCACCACTCCCGACCTTGCCATGGGGCTTCTGAGGCCAGTGGCTCTCCCAGCTCCCGGTGAGGCCCTTCACTGTTGGAGAGTGGGGCAGACAGAGGGCTGCTTCATCAAGGACAGGTGAGGTGGCACATCTCCAAGTTATCACTAACGTATACGGTATCAAGCAAAGCTAAAAACCGTATACTGAGGTGGGGGAGGAAAACACAATATGCCTTCATTCATTAATGTGAAAAGCCCACAACAGAGTGACAATGGGGAGCTAACTGCTTGTATCATTTGCTGGGTCCTTCACGTAGAAAATGTTATTAGGCTGTATCTGCAGCAATTTCCATCTGTCAGAGCAAGAAAATGATGCGAGATGCCCAACTGGGTCTTCTGTCCAGTGTCTGTCACTCGGAGATCAGAGTAACTCCGGCAACTTTTCCGACAATGCTGAGACCCCAGGAGCACCAATGGACACCTGCACTAGGAGAAGAATGTACCAACCTCATTTCGTGTTTTCCCCAGTAACCTAACTTTTCAGCATTAATGGAGCTTCAAATGCAGACTTTCTCATAGAATTTCTGGAATCCCCAGCCATGATCAGGACACATGTTAGCAGCCAGAGTATGCCCAATACCCGCAGGCCAGAGCCGGACTGCAGAATAAAGTACCACCCGCAGGGGCAGGTGGCAAGATTCAGAGCCTCCAATCCAGAAACAGGCTGCGGAGACCCTTCTGCTAAAGAGGTGTTGGGTGGCATTCGAGAGGCAGAGAGAAAAGACTGGGTAGGCCTCAGCAATGGGGATGCTGCCACCGAGAGTGGCCTCCCATCTGCTTTCACGGTTACCTGCAGATTCAGGACAATCATAAGCTTGTTGCACTGTTGGTGAATGAGTCACACTTAGTACTCCTCTCTTGCAAAGCTGTCACTTTTATGTCAGACAAACTCACATCAGATGACAATTTCCAAGCCTTGTAACTGACCTAGACATCTGGTCTTGCTTTAAAAGCCCGAATTTTGCTTCAATTCAACCCGGGGGGTGGGGGGTTAGGTTTATTTTGATCCTCCATTGCTCCTGAAGTTGGCATGCCATTACCTTAGGAGCTAACAACCAGGTAAGTCAACAGCTTGCCTGGGTCAATACATGCCCTCGCTGAACTACTAGAATCCTAATCCTAATGGCTTCCCAGATTAAGAGCTGGTAGAGAAGAACGCAGGGCATCAAGTCAATGTCTGCAAAGTTATGGATGTACTGGATGGGCCACTTCCTAGTAGTATCCTGGAGAGTGATACTGACAAACCCCATTTAAATTAACTTAATGCGTTTCTTCCTCCAAAGCCTGAATCACTTCCCATAAGTAAAGCAGGGATGGACAGAGGAAAGAGCACTAATTTTTTTCAGATTACCTGAAAATCACGGAGATGTCAAAGCTGATGAATTTCAAATGTGTATACAATTTGGTAGTTTTAGGATATAGTTAATGTTCCAGTACATAAACTAATCCATTAGCAGCTTTTAAGAGTTAATCCTTTTCTAAGTTTTGCACCAGAAAGAGATCTGGGCAAAACTTTGTCATTAATTCTCAAAAGAAGAGCTTAGTGAAGTAGGTAAAATGTCGGATGAGTCCACGATGACATTTTGGTCTATAGCAATAGCTTTACTGCTTCCATATATATAACTGTTTTGTATTTTGGGAATGTTCAGTAGCTACAGAGCCACGACAACATGACTGCACAAATCACACCGACGTGTAAGATTGCTAGAGGAGGATGCGCAGGGAATAGAATTCTTCCATGTGCCCAAAGCACCCAAGAAAGAATATGAGAGAAGGTGCTGCAGAGAGGGGCCCCTTTCCCTAACATGGGGTTGGGGCACTGACAGGTGACAACCTGGCTACATGGGTCAAACGAAGCACTCAACATTACTGTTTCCTCATAGCAGACTTTTCCGGCTTACTTCTCGAAGAACATTCTTATATTGAAAGTGTTTATGAGGTGTTCGCTTAGTGTTGACTACAGCTTTCCTTCTGGGGCACATGGGGAGTATACGGGTCAGTGAACACACCTGTCGCACATTTAGAATAGTCCTAAGCGATGAAATCATTCAGGAAGTGCTTGGCTTGTGAACTATGTCCTTTTTTAAAGCTTTATCTTGTTCCCTCGATGTTACAGTTCTGTTTCTAAGACCCAAAACAATTCAGCCAGGAGAGCTGTGGTCTTCCCCACAACATACCTGCTCCTCCAGCGAGGAGTGTGGCTCCTTTCTCTTGGCAGATCTAACAATGCCACTTTCCAAACCGCATGAGCCAAGTGAGTCACCCTATTCTACCATATCCCACTTGTGAAAGAACTGGAAAATGAGGGTGACGCATGAACACTATTGCTTTACAGCGGGAAGCTACAAAAAGCAATGTAGAAGCATTGAGAGTCCTTGGTCACAATGTGACCTTGAAGGGAGGTGGCTGATAAAATTAATGAATTACTAGACATGATCAGCAAAGAAAAATACACCGGGCACTATATTCAGGGTCCTACAAAGCTACTACTCCAAACTCTTTTCATTTCTGATAGTATGTGTAGTGACTTATGAACACATCATTCCAAATTCACACTATCTCTTCATTATCACCTAGCTAGGCATCCAAGTGATGACTAAGATAAGCTGTAACTGAGTATAACCTCTCAAGAGGAATGGGCAGCCACCTTCATTTACAACAGCTTTCTCAAATATCTGAGATCAGAAGTAAATCAGTAAGTAGATCAGAAACATCTTTTTATTTAACTTAAGTGCCCAAGTGCCAATGGCCTTCAAATTCTTTACTCACTGGGTAGGAAATATTCGGTATTGTTTGAAGTCTGAAAAGGAACTGAAAGGATTGAGACAAAGATTAACAGAACTGGGGCTTGCTTACCTTTAGGAAGGCTTTCTTCTCCAAAGTGTTCATGATAAATGGAGGGATAGCTACAAGTAAAGATACATCCATTTAAATCTTTCTTTAATATTTATTTTCAGCTCACATCTTTTTTAACGATTTTACAAAAGGCTTATGTCACTTTTAGGCTATTTTCACAATGGCAGAGCGAAATTACTTGCAATAATTCTTTGAAATACTTTAGCATTTAAAAAAATTAAAAACAATGTAATGCTCATTACCAGCCAGAAAATTTTATAATCTGGGAGAGAACTTTACATTTAACTTTAAATATGTAACAGTACAAATATCAGGAACTTTCCCCTTCTGTGCTAATTAAACAAATGCAATCTCCCCCAGGCATCCATCCCACGTGGAGTCCAGTAGAAAGATTCTGCCTCAAGAAAAAGATTCCTGCCTTGAGGAAGAAAAGTTACCTAACTTCTCTGAGCCTCAGTCTTCTGTTTTCCTCATCGATAAAATGGGGAGAATTCTATCAAACTGGCTGTGAGACGGTTGGAGACAATAATGGACATAACTCCTCGGGTAGTGGTAGTTCATTTATTATTTACTCACAGTTTCTATCAGACTGAACTGTCACATCAACCACTTCCATATGGCAATTACCTCTATAGATTCCACTGGGACAGAAAGGTTGTGTTTCTTCTCTGGGGACTAAATAATGTTTAAAATAACCAAGCCTCTAAAAGTAGATCCATTGGGCTGGCTGAGCTCCAAAGGGGAACCTCAGATTTCAAAATGAGAAAGAACAAAACCCAAATCAAAAGCAAATGCAGGGTAGAGGTTGGAGTTGCAAGCCTGCTGTCGGCAGATGTGGAAGTCGGGCGTGGTGGGCGTGTTGGCGCCAGACCCTGGGGACCCCCGTCTGTGTCTGATTGCCACAGTGCACCCACCCCCACAGCGTGCACCGCTGTCTCATGAGGACGCCAAGGGGTTTCTTTGTTCAATCAATTAACGGTGGTTAAATCGGATAATCCGAATAATCTGGGATTATAGCTGACACCACTATAATGTCCCTACTCCTACTTGTGCGCTGATGAGATTCACAATGACAAAAGGAACCTAAAGACAACAAAAGATACTAGCAGGACAACCTGACAACAACTGATTAAGTGTGCTCCTTTTGAGAGCTTGGTTAATAGTCAAGTGCTTTCTGCATTCAGCTTAGATGATGAAATTAATCCTACTAATTTCAAATTTTTTCTGTAATGAGCACTAGACTTCCCGGGCCCTCTGTTTCCTGAGTAAGTCTGAGAATCTTCTCTCGGCCTTTGGTCTGAGGGTGGCTCTAGGAAGCCCTAGGAGTGGGTTACATACAATGCAGATTTTTGACTGTGGGTCATGTCGACTCCAAGCCCTAAGGACAAAACTGAGTAGAAGCTTGGCATACATCCTAATAGCTGCTCTAACCAACCCAACCTGGTTTGTATTCCAAGGGTTTCTAATCGATACAAATAAATCTTCAGTAGAAATTATTCTGATTCAAGAACTTTGAGAAATTTCTTCTCCAGATGTACGAAAATCCAATTCTTTGCCTTCAAGTTCTCATCGCCCATACTGTGGCCGCCCTGGTCCAAACCAGCCCCATCACTGACCTGCTGTAGTGTGCCAGCCTCCTGGCCAGTCTCCAACCATCACTCTTGGCCCTCTTCACTCTGCTCCTGACACGGCCCCCGCTATCATGCTGCTAAAGCCCAAGGATTACACCACTCCCCTGCTTAAGTGGCGCTGTGGCTTCCCGCCCCTCAGACTACAGCCAGGGCTCGGTGACCAAGAGCTACTAACCCATGCCCGGGGCTGCCATGAGAATCCGAGAGACAACTACTTGTGTGATGGCTTGTTTTGCAGCATTGGCCGACTCGCCCAAGCGGTTCCCATTCTCATCTGTGACAGGAATGCCGACTTTGAGTTCCCTGCCGAGCAAAACACAGGCAAAGAAGTTCACAGATACCTTCATGAAACGGCTGGAAACAGCACTGTGCTACGGAAGACCAAGTCCCTACTGAATCCAAATACCCGCTTGAGTGTCAGTTTTGGCACTAACAGGTCTATTTTTATTTTTTAAAGATTTTATTTATTTATTTGAGAGAGAGAGAGAGCAAGCAGTGGGGAGGGGCAGAGGGCGAGAGAGGAGCAGGCTCCCCACTGAGCAGGGAGCCCGACATGGGACCCGATCCCAGGACCTTGGGATCATGACCTGAGCCGAAGGCAGATGGTTAACCGACTGAGCCACCCAGGCGCCCCTAACAGGTCTATTTTTAAATACCACGAACAAGTCTAATCCTTGTGTGGTAGGCACAAAAGTAAAGTAACACGGGGAGCCTCGGCTGAGCATCCGACTCTTGATTTCAGCTCAGGTGGTGATCTCAGGGTTGTGGGATCAAGTGCAGAGTCTGCTGGAGATTCTTTCTCCCTCTCCTTTTGCCCCTCCCCCTGCTCACTCTCAATCTTTCTCTCAAATAAATAAATAAAATCTTTTTTAAAAAAGGAAAATAACACTAGTAAACTCCATGAAAAAAAGTGCTGCATTTTTTAACAATAATATAATTCAAAGGGTGAATATGCTAACTTAAAGATAAGGCTAATTTCTATGCTCACATGCAAATCTGAGCAACTTCCCAAATGAAAGACACATATAATACATGGCATTACTAAGTAAATTAACTATACTGCCCCAGGAATCACTAGTATATGGCACCACTGGATAGTTAACGCCAGTTACTAACACTAAAATTTGATTAACACTTGATCTTAGCCAAAAGGCCGAGAAGCGATTACTAACACTAAAATTAAAGCTCCTATTGTTACCCTGTTTTTTGTTATCCATTCCAAAATGCTTTTTCTTGTTCTTTCTTCTCTTTTAATTTCTGTCAGTTCTATAAAATACTTCCAAAAATGTACATTAATATTTTAAACCCAGTAAGACAGTTCTGGGGTGGTGGGGGTACCTATTTTAGAGAATAAACTTTCTGTGCATAGACCTTCTTTGCCTAGTGCTACAACAACTAAATGTTAGTTTGAGATATATGTTTTAAACTTTTTATTACACAGAAGTAGAAAGAGTATTCTAACCCCCCACATACTCATCAGCCTACTTCAATAATTAGCAACTCATGGCTAAGCTTGTTTCATTAATGGACCCATCCCTGTGCCCACACCAGATTACTCTGAAGCAAACCCAGGTCCCATATAACTCCATCTGTAAATATTAAAATGAACTGTTAAAAGTTTCAATACCACTAATTATTATAAGACTCTACTGTCAAGCACCAGTCCTTTCTAAGACTGCGTATGAATCTTACCTTTGCCTCATTAATGGGATATTAATGCAATTAGCAGCAGCTACAGCAGCAAAGGGAACAAAACGTCCTATGAGTGGTGAGACATGCTGCAGGGAAAAAAAAAAACCCAAAAGCATTATTTTACTTTGCCCGGATGACTGAATGCAAATACTTATTTCTCCTTGAAAACTGCTAAAAACACAGTCTCTTTTGTATGGAAACTCAGGCCGAGGGTACTTTCAAAACTTGTTCCCTGGTGGTGGTTGTCGATTTCCAGCATGGGTGCACTGGGACAAGACATGCTTCCCAGACATCGGCCAGACTGGCCTGGCTGACGGACTGGGGGGCTTTGGAGTCGCGGGGTCTTGAGTTCAGGCGCTGGCGTCTCCACCTCTCGAGAGGTGTGGGCGCGGGCACACTCCTCGGCACACAGCCTCTAGTGGGCAGCCAGGGTCGGGGAGCACTGGCACGTAAGACGCAGTGCCAGGGACAGACCAGGGGCTTGGCAGAGGGTGCTGGTGACAGCCTTTCCGAAACTCACTGGAAGACCCAACTGAGATAGGCAGGCGAAGATAATGATGGTAATTCTTAAGAAAGTCCTAGGACTTGGGGCGCCTGGGTGGCTCAGTCGTTAAGCGTCTGCCTTCGGCTCAGGTCATGATCCCAGGGTCCTGGGATGGAGCCCCGCATCGGGCTCCCTGCTCGGCGGGAAGCCTGCTTCTCCCTCTCCCACTCCCCTGCTTGTGTTCCTGCTCTCACTCTCTCTCTGTCAAATAAATAAATAAAATCTTAAAAAAAAGAGAAAGTCCTAGGACTTGAACTATTTTGAGAAATAATCGAGGGACTTGAGCCAGGTGGATGAGAACAAATTAAGAAGCCTAACTAGGGAAATCAAAATCCGAGCACCTTGGTTAATGCGTTGAGTCCTAGAGCTGTTGCCACGGCACCAGTTGTCGCGGAAACGTAAGCTGTTCCCAGTTCACTGAAAAGGAAGAATAGTGCATGAAAAACAGGTGCACGCCAGGACACTTGGGTTCAACAGTTTTTGAGGAAACGAGGCGACAATGTGAAAGAGCATGATTAAGAAGAGAGAGCCCACAAAACAACACTCACTCTCACTCTACAAACGGCCAAATGCAGACCGGAAGCAAGCAGCCCCGGGCAGAGTGGCCTTCCTCACAGACAAGCCGACCAGCAGCTTCAGCGGCGGCTGTAGGGAGTAGGTACTGGGGGGGTGGGGGTGGGGGGTGGACCGAGGGGCCGTGAGCGTGCAGGGAACAGCCTCTTGGCCTAAGTGTGGGCAGCATGTCTACCTAAATAAAAAGTACTTCTCAAAATATAAACACACATATTGGAAGTAAAACTGCCATACTGCTGTTCTTAAAATTGTAACTTATTGTATCGTAATACGAAAAGTCCCATCTGCAACAGGCAGTCAAGCACAGCTGTTTTATTTTAAATTAAGTTTTAGGGGCATCGGGCTGGCTCAGTCCATTAAGCATCTACCTCTGGATTTTGGCTCAGGTCATGATCTCAGGGTCGTGAAATCGAGCCCCGCGTTGGGCTCTGTGCTGGGTGTGGAGTCTGCTTGAGGTTCTCCATCCCTCTACCTCTGTCTACCTCATACCTCTGCCTTGCATGCTGTCTCTCTAAAGAAATATAATAATAATAAATACAAATAAATTGGGGCGCCTGGGTGGCTCAGTTGGTTAAGCGACTGCCTTCGGCTCAGGTCAGGATCCTGGAGTCCCGGGATCGAGTCCCGCATCGGGCTCCCTGCTCGGCAGGGAGCCTGCTTCTGCCTCTCACCCTCCCCACTCTCATGCTCTCTGTCTCTCATTCTCTCTCTCGCAAATAAATAAAATCTTAAAAAAATAAAAATAAAAATAAAAATAAATAAATAAATACAAATAAATAAAATAAGTTTTAATTCGAAGGGTTGGAAGAAATGAAGGTGTGATAAGCACTGTGGCGGCAAGATTTCTACAGCCTTTGTTCCATATGGTGACAAAAGAACACTATGGACTGTCAGAGGCCATTTAAAGTGACAAAAAAGAAAACACTCTGAAGTGTTCTCCAAGCTGAGCTGAAAGTTTTGGTTCACTAATCACTTTAGCCAGTCCAAACGGTTTTTACAGGAGGCAACATTTTAAACCTGTTCACCTTCTGTCTGGCTCCAGAGATGGCTCCTTTAAAGACAAATCCTAAATAAAAGTCCCCTTGGTTTCTGCAGAGATCACGCTCTTGATGCCACTGCTTTTGATGTTGCTACCTGGCCACGGGCTCAGGGTAGATGGGGGCACAGCCTGTCGTCTGCCACGGCCCGGCCCTCAACTGCCCACCTTGTGTTCTGCACGGGGAGCCTGAGGGCGTGGGAGACAAATCCGCCTACCAGGGTCCCTAACAGCAAGAGTCATGTCTGTGAAGGCAGGCTGGACAAGACGGTCATCTTGATGGGAAGGGAGGAGAAGAAACGCTACTGGAAAATATGCCCCATGATACTCTGACCAATATCAACAGTTTATACACCACCGAATGAAATGCACACTGGGCAGGTGCAGGGAACGATTAACTCTTACAGTCTTACTTTACAGTGAGGGGGGCGTCTCCACTTCTGTTGGTGTAATTGACCACGGCATTGAAGGACTGGTTAATCCACTGCCAGAACAGCACGGCCGGTGTCGTCCTAAAACAGAGCGATCCGTCACACACTGGCCATCGCCTCTGACCTAGCCGCTGTGCGGAACAGAAAATGTGAACACCAGTAACCACAGAGGAGATGGACTGCGGAAGGAGAGCGCTAGGTCAAAGACCCTGCGTTCTGCGTCGAAAGCTTGGGACCTGAGTGGCGGGGCTGAAGTGCATCCTCTGATTCTCAGCATCCTCCTTCTTTGGATATGGGTAAGCCCAAGCTCAAAGGGCTATGGTGAGAATCAAGTCATCCTCCTTAAATTTGATCTTAAATCTGTAGAGAGCCTGGCATACAGTAGGCGCTCAACAAATGTCAGGCCCCTTCTCTTGGGGAAAAAAGCCAGCTGTCTGCAGGCGAAGTAGCCCTGATCCCTCCTTATGGCACGTGCAAGCCTGCGTGTCTGCGTCTACGGCTACATCTACTCTTACATCTGTGACTTAGGAGTGGATGAAAAAGAGAATTTGCTTAGAAACTTTTAAATTTTCTTTCTCCATCTCATTTTCTTTTGGGTGTTACGAGTTAGAGGAAAAATTCAGTCTCCTTTTGAACGACAGAGAGAATACGATTTATTTAGCACCGGGAAAAGTTAAAGCAACCCCCTAGAGTTGTGACATTTATATAAAATGGAACTCAATGTGAAATGACATTTATTTCAATAAAACTATACACAAAAATGTACTTTAAGCTCTGTAATATAAAATGTACTGTTGTTATATTTCCATGACTTACCTATAAAATGTCATCATACAACCTGTGATGGTCATGTTCATTGGAACCTGAGCTGACATTCTTCCTATCAAAATCATCTTTTCACCCGTGTCAGGATGAAAAGCTGAATCATAGATGTACTTTGCTCTCCATAATTCATTTTCTGTAAGACCTGGAGGAATAATTCCTTGCCTAGGGAAATAAGAAATAACAAGGGAACTGTTCATTTCCAATAGCTCACCAGTGCTCTAGAGACATGTAGCTAGAAAGTTTTTAAGTTTACCCTTACCGAAAACAACTGTGCCTGCAGTGAAATTTTAGTAACACAAGAGACAGTAAACACAACGAACATTTCAAACCCATGTATCTCAACTGGTCTGTAATTTTGAAAAACAAAAACTTATCTTGTATCTTGAAGTATTCAACTTTGAAATATTCCTTGTTTTAAATGACATATTTAAAAACGTATTTTGAACTTTGCAAACTCTATAATATTTTCAACCAATTAGACAAAAGCTGTGGCAATCAAGAACATTAATTATTATACCTACAGTTTGAAACCCTAGATTAGAAAGGCTCATTATTTTATCTTGTTATCAAAGAAACACATTTATTGCTAAAAATTTAGAAAATACAGACATTCATTAGTGCAATTAAAATCATTCAAGCCTTTCATTACTCATTTCCACTGATGCTGTTTTGTGAAGACACAGCCACGGTCTTGCAGGACCTGTATATGCCACTTAGGATCTCTATAAACACCATACCTGTTGCTTTATGACCACCTCTTTAAAATGAGTAATACTCTGTGAACGCTTTTCTGTATCTTTAGAACTTCTTCTGTACCACCTGTACTGGGTTGAATAGTGTCCCCCCAAATTCACATCCACCCAGAACCTCAGAATGGGACCTTATTTGGAATCAGGGTCTTTGTGGATATAATAGTTAAAACGAGGTCATGCTGATGAAGGTGAGCCCTAAATCCAATGACCAGTGCCCTTATAAGCCAGCCACGTGCAGACTAAGAAGGTCCTGTGATGTCAGAGGCAGAGACTGGAATAATGTAGCTCCAAGTCAAGGAACATCAAGGAACGCCTCCGGCTACCAGAAGCTGGAAGAGGGGAGGAAAGATTCTCCCCTAGAGCCTTCAGAGGGAGATGGCCCTCCCAACACCGTGGTTTCAGACTTCAGCCTCCAGAACTGCAATAGAACAAATTTCCGTTGTCTGAAGCCACTCAGTTGGTGGTAACTGGTTACAGCCACCTTAGGAAACTAACACATCATCCTTTTAAATGCTCCAGTCTTCCACCGCATGATTGTAAGATAGATTATCCCAATCCCTATTGTTGGGCACTTTAATTGCTTCTAATCTCTTCCGTTTGTAAAGGATGAGGAAGTCAATCTCCTTATAAATAAATCTTTCCCCTGCATCCAAGATTAATCAGAAACAAAGGAGTACATTTGCTGAGACAAAAGTTATGTAAAATACTGAGGCTGTCAATACGCCTTTTGTCCTTTTTCTCTACTTGAGTGTGTCTGTTGATTGTCAGGGTGGCAGCACCCTCACTGTTTAAGCGGATCACTTGTAAACTTGACCCGCTGTGGGCAGATCAGGCTGCTCCCCTGAACGTTACTATCTTGATGTAGTCAGGTAGGAACAAACGAAGTCGCTGACTAGAAAGGCCTGACCCGCTTCAGGGTTATACAAATATTCACCTCTACGTCTTGCACTTTAGTAACAGGTTTTTTGTTATTTTTTTTTTAATTGTCACTGAGGTTTTTAATTTATTTGGGATTTATCTTAAGATAGGAAAATGTGAAACTTGCTTAACTTGACTTTTCCATTGGCTGCTCTGCCACCCTAATACCAAGATTTAAATGCTATAGCCATCATGGGTTGAGATTCTTTGAGTGCTGGGCGTGGCTTTGGGGTTTTCTTTTTTTTTTTCCCCTTTTTAAATTTTTTAAAAAAATTTTATTGTTATGTTAATCACCATACATTACAACACTAGTTTTTGATGTAGTGTTCCATGATTCATTGTTTGTGCATAACACCCAGTGCTCCATGCAGAACGTGCCCTCTTTAATACCCATCACCAGGCTAACTCATCCTCCCACCCCCCTCCCCTCTAGAACCCTCAGTTTGTTTTTCAGAGTCCATCGTGTCTCATGGTTCATCTCCCCCTCCAATTCCCCCCCTTCATTCTTCCCCTCCTGCTATCTTCTTTTTTTTTTTCTTAACATATATTGCATTATTTGTTTCAGAGGTACAGATCTGTGATTCAACAGTCTTGCACAATTCACAGCGCTCACCATAGCACATACCCTCCCCAGTGTCTATCACCCAGCCACCCCATCCCCCCCACCCTCCCCCACTCCAGCAACCCTCAGTTTGTTTCCTGAGATTAAGAATTCCTCATATCAGTGAGGTCATATGATACATGTCTTTCTCTGATTGACTTATTTCATTCAGCATAACACTCTCCAGTTCCATCCACGTCGTTGCAAATGGCAAGATGTCATTCCTTTTGATGGCTGCATATTCCATTGTAAAAAATGCCACATCTTCTTTATCCATTCATCTGTCGATGGACATCTTGGCTCTTTCCACAGTTTGGCTACTGTGGACATTGCTGCTATAAACATCAGGGTGCACGTATCCCTTAGGATCCCTACATTTGTATCTTTGGAGTAAATACCCAGTAGTGCAATTGCTGGATCGTATGGTAGCTCTATTTTCAACTTTTTGAGGAACCTCCATACTGTTTTCCAGAGTGGTTGCACCAGCTTGCATTCCTACCAACAGTGTAGGAGGGATCCCCTTTCTCCGCATCCCCACCAACATCTGTCGTTTCCTGACTTGTTAATTTTAGGCATTCTGACCGGTGTGAGGTGGTATCTCATTGAGGTTTTGATTTGGATTTCCCTGATGCCGAGCGACGTTGAGCACTTTTTCATGTGTCTGTTGGCCATTTGGATGTCTTCTTTGGAAAAATGTCTGTTCATGTCTTCTGCCCATTTCTTGATTGGATCCTGTGTTCTTTGGGTGTTGAGTTTGATAAGTTCTTTATAGATTTTGGATACTAGCCCTTTATCTGATATGTCATTTGCAAATATCGTCTCCCATTCTGTCGGTTATCTTTTGGTTTTGTTGACTGTTTCTTTTGCTGTGCAAAAGCTTTTTATCTTGATGAAGTCCCAATAGTTCATTTTTGCCCTTGCTTCCCTTGCCTTTGCCAATGTTTCTAGGAAGAAGTTGCTGCGGCTGAGGTCGAAGAGGTTGCTGCCTGTGTTCTCCTTTAGGATTTTGATGGATTCCTGTCTCACATTTAGGTCTTTCAACCATTTTGAGTCTATTTTTGTGTGTGGTATAAGGAAATGGTCCCTCTTCATTCTGCATGTAGCTGTCCAATTTTCCCAACACCATTTGTTGAAGAGACTGTCTTTTTTCCATTGGGACATTCTTTCTTGCTTTGTCAAAGATGAGTTGACCATAGAGTTGAGGGTCCATTTCTGGGCTCTCTATTCGCTTTGGGGCTTTCTATGGACTTCCCACCATCTTCACCTTGTGGGGCCGATGCCCACCCTCCAAATGACAGTCCATTCTATGCCTGGTAGAACAGTGGTCTCTCCTCTTTCAAAAGTGCCTGAGTTATGCTCTATTTTTTTGGCAATGCTCAGAATTATTCTGTCAATTTTATAGGTGAGCACAATTGTATTTAGACTGAAACTGTATTGATTTGGAGAGAACTGACACCTCTACCATATTAAGACTTTCTATCCAGGGGCGCCTGGGTGGCTCAGTCATTAAGTGTCTGCCTTCTGCTCAGGTCACGATCCCGGGGTCCTGGGATCGAGCCCCACATCGGGCTCCCTGCTCCGTGGGAAGCCTGCTTCTCCCTCTCCCACTCCCCCTTGCTTGTGTTCCTTCTCTCGCTGTGTCTCTCTCTGTCAAATAAATAAATAAAATCTTAAAAAAAAAAAAAATTTTCTATCTAGACTTACTGCATGTTGCTCCAGTTATCAAAGGCTTCTTTTAATGACCCCCCAAGTGGGCTTGGAACTGCTTCACATTTCCGGGTAAGTGTATTCCTAGATACTTTATATATAGGTATATATATATCTTTTTGGTCTTATGAATGGTATTAAAATAATATTGTCTAATTGATTATTGCTGATGTATAGGAAACTGTTGACTTTTTGTGTAGTCTACTTGTCATATTCTCTTATTTGTTCCACTGGTAGTTGATTGGTGAGAAAATCATCATTTGAAAAAAAAAAAAAGAAGAGAAAGAAATTGTCTCATATTTTTAAGATTTGTACATCTTCTTTCTTTCTTTTTTTTTTTAAGTTTATTTAAGCAATCTCTACACTCAACATGCGGCTCAAATTCAGGACCCCATGCTCCACTGGTAAGTCAGCCAGGCGTCCCTCTTATTTCTTTTTTATGTCTTACTGAATTGGTTAGGGATCCCAGAACAATGTTATACAATAGTGAAGATAAAGGCATCCCTGACTTGCTTCTAACTTTAAAGAGAATGCCTCCTAGAGCAAGATTTTTAGGGGCGTGTTCTTAGATGTTATAAGGTGTTACGGGAAAGAAAAAAGGCCCATGTTCAAGTTTGGGAAAACGGACTAACGGCTTTGTTTACTCTAATACTTCTTGGAATTTTTCAGAAGGCAATGGGATGTGACACCCTTACAAATAGGATGTAGGGGCGCCTGGCTGGCTCAGTCAGTGCAACTCTTGATCTCAGGGTTGTAAGTTCAAGCCCCATGTTGGGTGTGGAGATTACTTAAAAATAAAATCTTAAGGATAAAAAAAGAATGGGCTGTAAACTTTTCCAAATTTGACTATGGAAGCCACTTTCTCTCCTCTTTCTTTCCTCCTCTCCTTCCTCCCTCCTCCCCTCCCTCCCTCCCTCCTTTCCTAGCTTTCTATCTTTCTCTCTCTCTCTCCCTCTCTGGTATTGGGGGAAATATTCCACAGGATTGCTTTTCTGCAGAACTGTCTGGGAAGTTCACTCAGCTCTACTGTTTCATCATTTAGTGTGATGCTGGCTGCTAATGTGGATGTGTATTCTTTACCATATTAAAGAAATACAGTACATTATTCCTAGCTGATTAATAATTTTCTGAGAAACACATGGATAATTTAACCTTCTTTTGGGCATCTATCAAGAGTGATTTCTTGCCTCAATCTGATAAATTATATTGATAGATGTCCTAAAATAAATCAACTTTTTACTCCTGGAATAAATCCTACTTGTTCATACTTTCATGAAAGGCTGGATTTGATGTGCTAGTATTTTATTTTGGATTTTTACGCTGTTAATTTGCAAGATGGGCCACTGTATTCTTGCAGTGTACTTCTGTCATTTAGAGTATCAGTGTTGCAAATGAATTGGGAAGCATCTTCTTTTTCAAAAAATTAAATCAGCTTTACCGAGGTATAATTCAAATGCAATAAAAGTCAACCATTTTAAGAGTACGATTTGATGAGCTTTGGAAAAGGTACAGTGGTGTAGCCACCTCCAGAATCACGGTGTGGAATACTTTCATCTCCCCAAACGTTCCTGCAAGCTCCTCTCCTCTGGAGTCTTTCCCCCATTTCTTGGCAACCCCTAATGCGCTTCCACTTTTACGTCTGTACTGGGAACCGACAAACTATAGCCCATGGCCTGTTTCTGAATGGCTCTTGTGCTAAGAATGGTTTTTACATTTTTAGAGGGCTGTAAATAAAAAAAAAAAAGCAAAAACAACAAGAATATGCAAGAGAGAAGGTATGGCCTGCAAGGCAGAAAATATCTGCCACCTGGCCCTCTGTGGGAAAAGTGCGCCAACATCTGTTCTTCCCCGCTGGAGGAGGGTCTCGGGTTTACTCTCCATGTCTTTGTTTCTCCTTTTCCACGGAGCCAGCTCTGTCATTAGTGCCGCCCACTGCCCCCGTCTTGCTCTTACAGTGTTAGCTTCTTTGCAGTGTTTTTATGTCTTCTTTTCAACTCCTCTCGCTGTCTTTTCCTCTGCACCTCTCCTTTTTATGGCTTTTGTCCCAGATTCATCGAACATTTCCTTTCCTGAATCCCTGACATGCGCTTTGCTCTTCCTCTGCCTGTTCTTCAGTACTTTCGCATAAGGTTCCAAGATGTCCTGTTGCTCGGCTCTCCTCTCCTGATGCGCGGGCCCCTGCTAAGATCTGGCCAGCCTGTGTTTGATGACGAACTTTACAGACTGCCCTTTGCCCTTGGTTCCTTCCCTAACCTCCCACGTGACCGTCAAAGACCACCCCCCCCAACGCGGCTCCAGATCTCAGCCACTGGCTGACTCTCCCCTAGAGCAGGAGGCTGTAAACTAGTGTCTATGGCCTGTCTGCCTCGCTTGCTAAGAGTGGCTTTTCATTTTTTAAAAGGATTGTTTTTAAAAAAATAAAAAATAAAAACCCAAAAACAAAAACAAAAAACTAAGAAAACTACGGGGCAGAAACTTTCCCTCTGTGGCCTACAAAGCCTGAAATATTTCTTTTTTTTTTTTTTTTAAAGATTTTATTTATTTATTTGACAGAGAGAGAGAGAGATAGTGAGAGCAGGAACTCAAGCAGGGGGAGTGGGAGAGGGAGAAGCAGGCTTCCCACGGAGCAGGGAGACCAATGCGGGGCTCGATCCCAGGACCCCAGGATCATGACCTGAGCTGAAGGCAGACGCTTAACGACTGAGCCACCCAGGCACCCCCTGAAATATTTCTTATGTGGTCTTTTATGGAGACGGCTGTGACCACTGCCTTATTAGAGCATCTCTCTTCTGACGTCATGACTGGCTCTTTGAATTGATGAACTGCAGCCCAAACCTACAAACCTGCCACCAGCATCTTTCCAGCTGAGCTCCTACCTGCGAGGTTTGTTCATTGAGGCTTTATTTCAGAAGCAACCAACCTACTCTAATTCTTGACAGCTTGCTTTCCGCACGAGGTTATCTCCATCCGGGGACAGAAAGATGCGTGGGGGGCTATTGACCCAGGGACGTACTGGAGTGGAGGAGGCAGAGCACTGGGAAAGGGGACCTCACAGATCGGTACCTAGGAGTTGGAGGGATGGCTGTCTTATTTTTCAGGTCACTGTGAACCCCGGATATCTGCATTAAGGCTCAGCCTCAGGGGATAAAACACGTCTTCCTATTTCCTCTTTTTTTTGGTAAAGAGGATTCCATTGCAAAAAAAAAAGTTGTAAAATCACTAAGTGAAGGTTTAAAGACAATAGGTTAACATGATGACCTATTACCGTATTAATCAAAAAGTATAATCATTAATGTTACCTGTAATCATGCACTACTTTTCTTGCATTCTCTAGTTGTTCGTTGGTTAACAGGATATTCCTGGGATCTGTTACAGTGAAGAAATGATTGGCTCGCCCAACAAAGGTGCTTTGATCCCATCGAGGTTCCTTGATGTTAATGTTCGGTGGAAGTTCTCCAGACATCGTCCTGGACTCTAGGGGGTCAAAAAGATAAGTCTAGTCAAGACTTACAATGTTGCTACACATTTTAGAAACTCTATAGTCACATTAATTTCCAGCTGAAAATTTATGTACTTTCCTCTTTATAAAAATAACTTTGCTATAAATGGCAGAAAGACAATCTAACTCCAAAGTTACTTTGTCCATAAATCCCAACTGATCTTAACCAAATTTCAATAATTTCCCACATATTTCTCCTGATAGATACATGGTATTTCATCATTCCTTAACTTTTGGAAGCCTAGAAATACTCTAGAAAAAGTAGAAATAGAAAGAGTTAAAAATAACATCAGCAGTAACAGGGTCTGAAGTTTGAAACCCCTTTTCTGGGTGCGACAACCAACGCCAAACTACTACTCCATTCTGGTCTACTAACTGTTATTTCTACCGGTAGAAGTGACTAATTACGTAAAAAGCGTTGGTTACATGCTAAAAATTCCACAATTAGAAAAAGACTCAGATTCAGTCAGCCTTGTTCAACATATAAACCACCAAACAAAAATGCAAACCTATGTTCCTCAATCCAACAGGGACATGGTGGGAAAAACACATTCGGACAAGCCCACAAATACGAGTAACACTATGGCGTATCATTTCCCTCATGTGATACCTATTTTATAGCTAAGAACCATTACTATTTTCCCAAAAATAACTACTTTCTTGCTCTGAGTGATACACACTTATTTTTAGAACTGCACTGTATTATTGTAGAAAATATAGAACAAAAAGCCAAAATCTCTGATAATTTAGCCACACTGAGATAACCATCCTTTATGTTTTGGTAATGCCTTGCAGACATTTTTTATACACATCATATAAATAAAAAATAAAGTTGATATCATACTCTGTATTTTAATTTCCTGATTTTTTTTTGTTTTTTGGCACTTACTTCATGAGCATTCCCCATGGCACTAAATATTCATTTTAGGTATGTAACAACACCTTTCATGTCTAAATCATCTTCAGTTTTTCACCGTGATAAATAATGTATCCTTGTCTATGATCTTTTCCCTCAAAGCTGGTGATCTCCTTAGACTAGATCTCTCTGTGTGACATTAGCAGACTGAAGGACCGAATCACTATGAAGGCTTCAAACCACTGCTTTTTTATTCCTGTTTCCCTTCCCTACATTTCTAATATCAGTTCGAATAGCAGCTTTCTTTTCCAGGTCATTTTTCACGAAGTTATTTTTTAGTGCTTCTCAAGTTCTTAGGTACCTTAAGATGCCAAGTGCAGATGGTAGGCACTCTTGTCATTTATACTTTCTCAAAATCTCAAACTAGTAAGTATCATACCCCCTGGATCAAACTCGGGCACGTTAGGACAAGAGATGTGAGGGATCCAGTGCCTGTGAAAGAGCTGGTCAGTGAGACTGAGAAAGTCAGCCCTGCTACTCATAAAGCCACAGCTGGAATAACAAGCACGGATAAAGCCAGCTGCAAGGTTACTGGGAAACCGTATCGCTCCCAAGGTCACAGCTATAAAGTGTCATAACACTGCCCTTCTTTGGATGACTACTGCTTTCTTATCTCACCAAGACATTGTGTCTTCTATAATCTTTGCTATTTGAATTCAAAACAGAAAGAATGAAACATCCCACTCTGGACAATGAAAAGGAGCCTGGATTTCCAGCACAGGTGTGGAGCTTAAGATTAGGGAGTTTCTGGACACGACATTCCACAATTTTCTTAACTTTGTAATTTCCAAGGAAACAGGGCAATGGGGCCACGTCATAGTCTAGACCTTAACACCCAGCCCTGGTTTAAGCCAATCAAAATATTGCTTCACTAAGCTTCCCTGAAAGTCCACTGTTCTCCAAGATGCTCTAAAAGCTTTATCTCCTCCTTTGTTGGCAAGACACACTCTGTTCCTCTGGTCTGCGGTCTCCCTCGATGCAAGAAGCCAATGAGCATGACTTTGTCGGACTACAGGTTTGTCCCTGCTGGGTTTTGGCTGATTGAGCTGTAGTAAGAGAAACAACTGAATTTCAAATTAGGACACATCAACACCATGGACATCAAGTCCAGGGATACAAGAAATACAATGTACATCAAAGAGCCGTGCCATTGTATGAGAAATGTCTAAATTTTGAATTAGAATACGTCAAATGTGTTATTTATAACATTTGCAAAAAAGCAAAACAAAATCTCCAATTCACATTCCGGACAGCAGTAGTTTTTAGACGTGTCTGTAGAGACCTGGGGCCCTGCTGAGATTCCTTAGTGCCCCCCAGGGAATGGAGTGGATTCAGCAGGTGGGGTTACAGCAAAGGAGGCTGACAAGGAGTGACCAGCCGGAGAAAAAGCAAGGAGAGCATGGTGTCCTGCAAGACAGTCTCTCCGTAGTCCAACTGGCCAAAAGGAAGAACACCTTGGTAGGTGGTGACTCCCATGTTGGGATAGTGAAGAGAGGAGCATACAACCCTGAGGGGCCAGTCTAGGGGTGGGGGACACTGCGGAGATGGTTGTCTTGGCCAGTTCTAAAAATTCTGAGCCATGGTGGTAGCAAGTAGGGAGAGACTGCACACACACATCACACGTCCCTCTGCAAAGACAATTACTATCTCCCGTCTTGAGGTTCAGATTCCGTAGGCCTAGCAAGAGGCGGGGCGTGGGACTGTGCCGGCGCTCTGGCCCGGCCCTCCTGCAGTCTGGGCACCAGGCTGTGGCTGTACGTGCAGCTGGAGCGGCTTCCTTCCTGGCGTTTCTCTGCGCTGCCTATGCCGCCCCTCAGGCCTGAGCAATCACCATGTTCCCCTGTGGGTATCTGATACGGACTGTTCTCATAAAACGGAGTACCGGGCGCCTGGGTGGCTCAGTTGGTTAAGCGACTGCCTTCGGCTCAGGTCATGATCCTGGAGTCCCGGGATCGAGTCCCGCATCGGGCTCCCTGCTCGGCAGGGAGTCTGCTTCTCCCTCTGACCCTCCCCCCTCTCATGTGCTCTCTCTCTCTCATTCTCTCTCTCTCAAATAAATAAAATCTTAAAAAAAAAAAAAAACAACGGAGTACCAAGTAATCTTTCTTGCCTTCAAGTACAACCCTCACCATCACTGCTTGTCCTTTACACCTAACATACATCATCCCCCAAATTAACACGTTGCATTCACAGAATCCTAGTTCTTCATAACAAACCATCTCCAATTTGTGAAATAGAAAGCAACATTTAGGTCAAGTTGCCACAAACAGGATCTGGGTTTAAAACCTGGTTACTTTATAAACGTCCTAATTGCGTAAGAGCTGGATGGGGTCTTTAAAAAGACCTACCACTTTTAACTGCACCATACAGATGAGGAAACAGAGGCCCGGCGGGGGGGCAGAGAACCGCCCAGGTGGTGTGACTGGTGCCGGGGGCAGAAGAAAAGCAACAGGACCACAGCAGGGCTGCACTCCGGGGCACTGGTCTGCCAGTTCCCTCTTTCTCCTCTACCACTTTCTGTTAGCTATGCTCCCCTCAAAGTATACCAACTAATGCCCGCACAGAACTGGTCTCTTTGAGGCCCTCTTTTTCCCTCTAATGCAAACGTTTCTACTGACACTGTGAAGTCCTGCACTACAAGGAGCCTGTGGCGACTCTGAGCACGTGAGCAAGAGGGCTGTGGAGGCCTCACAAGGTCTTTCTTTAACAGGCAAAGAGAAAGGAGAGAAATGGGGGAGAGGAACCTCAACATGTTTGGAGTTTGTACTGCAGGCAAGGAACTGGGCCAGATGCTTGCCTAAGAGTGCAAGCCCCTACTATGTGCCCGTAGCAGAACATTCTATCTCAGTTCTCACGATAGTGGGCTCTATGAATACTATACCATTTTTATGGAAGACGAAAGTAAGAATCTGAGATGTTGCTCCCAACTAACCCTTATCTACCCAGCAAGAGAAGGAGGAGGCTGATCTTCAGACTCCAGGCCAAGCCCACCCAAACCTCAACACTGAAAACATACATCGATGGGCCCTGTATGGACCTCTGGTAGGCTGAATAATGCCTCTTCCCCAAGATGTGCACATCCTATCCCCACACACTGGGAATATGTCACCTTCTGTGGCAAAGGGACTTTGTTGGTGTGATTAAGTTAAGGATCTTGAGACTGGGAAACTACCCTGGCTTATTCAGGTGGGCCTGATGTAATCACAAGAGCCCCTACAAGAGAAAGAGGAGGGCAGGAGAGGCAGAGTCTGAAGAACAGATGTGGGACAAGCAGAGACTGCGGCGATGTGGGGCAGTGAGCCAAGGAGTGTGGGCAGCCTCTGGAAGCTGGAAAAGGCAAAGAGCCTCCAAAAGTAACACAGACTCATTTTAGACTTCTGACCTCCAGAACTATAGGTTAATGTACTATTTTACAACTACTAACTTTGTGGTTATTTGTTATAGCAGCAATAGGAAACTAATACAGCACTATTTTCCCTACTTAGTAAGGATTTCAAATAACACTATATACTGGTATACGAAATACCAACTAGCCTTGATAATCTGTCTCTGCCTCTACGAATTTCAAAAACATAAAGCCTACTCAGAAACGTCATATTAACATTCTTACAAAGATAGCTGATCTCAAGCCAGGTAAAATTTTAATTATTAACTGTGACTCCCATGTTTCAATTAGACAAGCCTTTTCATGCATGAACCTTCAAGCACACTTCACTTTCTCAACTTTAAATAAATCAACCAGTTTCTATAATCAGGAGTCCTACTTTCATTTTTTCTTTTTCTTTTTAAAAATTTGTGTCCTATTCCACATTAAATAGTGGGACCATGAGTGGTCCCACCAAGGCCCTGGGGTACTTGTCTCCCTCCTGTCCATCCCCAGGCCTGGGTGCTCTGATTGCGGAATAAGCAGCAGCTCTTTGTGCATTGAGTCAGGGTGCTGGAGGAGGGGGCACTGAGGTGCTGCTGGGGACCCCTCTCATCAGCATCTCAGGCATGCTGCATTTTGTACCTGGAGCTGGCTGAGGGAGGAGGCTGAAGCTCAGATGGGCCTCTGACCCT